TAATGTAAGCTAAAACTCTAAATAATTGATTTTATAAAAAAAAATGAGGTAAAAGAGGTAAATAAAGAAGTGGGACATCATCATTAGATTTTATTAAATGATAAGTTTAGAATGAAAAATCCTATGAGGTTGAGAAACAGGGATATTTCCATCTGCAGTATTTGTCGAGGAATGGGATGAAATTTTTCGCATTTTAAAAAAAATATCCTTTTAGTAATCTCTAGTTTCCTATAAATCCTATATTTCCGGTTTTAAAGTTTTCTCCTACACTTCTAAACGCTTGAAATTTCTGGTTCCCGCAATAAAAAATGTTTGCAAAGTAATAAAATAAATTTTAAAAAGAATATTATTATTGTATTTTTTTTATATTACTTTGGAAAAACTAATTCATTTTTAAAAAGTGGGAAAATTAAATGATATTTTTTTTACCAAAAGGGAAGAAATTATTTTATTAGAATCGAGAATTTAATAGTGTCTGGCTCTGAGAAAGCCATAAAAGTAAAAAAATTAATTATTACCATCGAAATAATTTTTTTTAATACCTTTTAATACATTGTAAAAAAAACCCACCACCATCATATTATTAAAAAGCACAAAGCTTTCAATGATATTTTAATTATTTTTAAAAAATATATTGTTTAATATTATAAAATATAATAATCGTTTTATAAATATTTTAGGGAGATTAAGTTATGAATGCAGGGGCGGAACCAGGTGGTGGATCTTTGAGATTGAACCTTTCCCGTGAGAAAAAAGCAGATATATTTTTGTAAACTGCTATTGTAGGAATAAAAATTTAATATTTATCCCTATTAGAGATCTACAAAAATAGCCCCAGGGTTTTAGGGTTTGGGTCGATACTAATTTTTTCTTAAAATAAATTCGGGTAGGGTCTGATCTTGTAAAATTTTTTAAATATATCTAAATTAAAAAGGGGCCAATATTTTTTATGTAAAATAAAAATATAGTAGAAACTAGACGCCATATGATATATATTGTTTATTTTTTATGTATGATAATTTAAAAAAAAAAAATTTATTTCTATATTTAAATAAATTGGGGCCGGGCCGTCAAAACTTTTTTAAAAAAATGTCGGGTTCGGGCTTGAAAAATTTGACCCGATGCAGATCACTAATCCCTATGATTTTTCAACTTTGAATTTGTCTAAAATACTTACCTAGTAGCATTTTATATATTTTTTTAAAAATGTTTTACTTTTATCCCGGGTACGCGTCAAAATAAACACAATTAATATTTCTGTAAATTAAAATATAATTTTGATTTGAAAATGCATTATCGTATTTTTCCTTGGAAACTGTAGTTTTCAGGAATAATTAACCTATTATTCTATCATTGGAAAATTCTGACTACATAATAATATAAATGTTCTTGTTGAACACATATTATCTGAATGTTATTTGCTATTTTTACAGAATCAATTCTCTTTTATATTATATTGCTAAAGAAACTAAAAATTTAACCTATCCTTTCTGCCTTAAAATTCCAAATCTTTCATGATATAAAATTTTTAATAGATTTTTGGCCTTTATAAAAAAAAAATTGCTGAAAATTTTGGCCATATCCAAAAATTTCAAACTCCGATTAAATTTCTTACAATAAAAATATTGAATATTGTATTATTTTGAAATTATAGTTTAATTCAATGATATCACGAATGAAAATGAGCTTGTATCAAAAATAATAATCTTTTCTCTATAAATGTTTATGTTGTAAATATAGATGGGGTTACGTACATGTCTTGAACTTTTTACTCCTTATTGTTAAACGGCTCGATATGAGCCGATTTTTAAAAAACGGTTAACTCAATATGTTATCCAGAAAATATCAAGCAAGCCTGAAGATTTTGGTCATATATGGCACAAAGGTTTGGCCATCGATTAGCGAAATCTCGAGGCTTAAGAAATATTTTTTTGGCTAAAATATCTAGTTCGCCGTTTATAAAAATTTAGCACGAATGAACGGTTTAACAACACTAGTCTTAACTCAAGAGCCTATGCAAGAACTAGCTGTGAGAGGTGGGGGAGGGGATAATTAATTTTTCATAAAAATTATTCTAGGAATTATTTAAGAAAATTTAAGCAAATTCAAATAGAAATTAATTATAAAATATTAAATGTATATTTCGGTTGTATGTGTATGAGAATCATAAAATTAAATGTCTCGAAAAAGCCTTTGATTTTTTTTTAAAAAATGTTGGAAATATAAATTAATACACCAAAATGTTTATAAAGATTATTGTGTGAATCTATGTTAGCGGCAATGTGTTATTTTTAAATTTAAATCATTTTTTTGAAGCGCATTTTTTTTAAAGTTTATAATCTGATTTTACCGAAAATGTGTCATCATGTTTGGAATACCTATCTTATGAATTGTAAGCAATTTCGCCGTTAACCTTTGAGTCATTTATAATTTATATAAAAAATATATGGAAAAACTAATATAAATAATTTAATTATATTAAGTTTAAAGCTTCAAAGGCATGTCTGAAATTTATAAGGTAGGTATTATTCCACATATGATGGAATACATTTCAAGTAAAATACGATCTTTAAATTTAAAAGAACGCGCTCAAAAATTATTTTAAGTCTAAAAAAATAGGGCATAGCTGGAAAAATCACATTGTCGCTAACATATATAAAATACTAGGTAATCATGATATAAAAAATGGTGTTATTAAGAAGCATATTATAAATTTACAATGTAAAATTCAATCTTCTATGGGATTGAGCTAATTTTTCAAGGATATCGGTGCTTGGTGTCAATTCCATATATGAATTAAGAAGGGCCAACATCTATTCAATTTATTTTTAGAGGTAGTACTTCTCAGTAATTTTGTAAAAATGGTTTGATCTGAGCCGCTTTTAGATTTTTCTTATAAATGGCACAAAGGTTTGGACATATATTACCTATGCGACCTTTTCTGGCTAAAATATAGCCGCATTTTAAAATAGACTCAAATCGAACCGTTCAACAACACTACTTTTCTGGCATTTCTTGTTAAAAAAGAAACTGCTCTTTCTTTGGCAGAAGTAAAAATAAAGCATTTTTAGAAATATTATCAACTGTATTTAACCCTTTTATACAATAGTTTGTATTCAGTTAGTAATGCACATGAGATCCTTTAAAATCATGACAATAAAAATCTGCCAAATATTTAATTTTTTTCCCCTTATCAAAATTTGAAATAGATTCGGAAGGACTCTGCCATAGTAATAATATTTGCAAGTGCTGCCTGATTAGTCAAAAACTATCATTCATGAGTTATAAAATATTCATCAAATGACCCCATAATGTTAGAACGATAGGTGTGCCCTGTGAAAGTCGAGGCAGATAAATATTAAATTCATAGCTAAGCTTTTAACTCAACAATGTAATTTATGAGACTTGCCATATATATTTGTCACTAATTTCCTTGTTCCAGTATAATACTTTCTGCTATTTTACTTTAGCTTTGCAGTGAAAAAGTTTCAAATGATTTGTGAGAAATTTTAAAATAGCAGATAAATAAACCAAAATTTGAATATGATATTAGAGTATTTATTTCTTCTGTGAATGTGATAAATAAATGCAAATTGGAATGTATGAATAAGATGTAGAAATCAGTTATATTTTTGAAAAATATTTTTGCTGGCATCAGAATTTGTTGACTCTCGAGAGGGGGGGGGTTGGGGGGATTTGCCCCTTTGTTGCATACACTCATGTGACTTAACTTGATTACTGTTTCAAATTTTTTAGATGTGAATTTAGCTATTGAAAGCTTTTTTACTCTTGTATAAAATACACTTAAATTTCTCATCGCATTCAACAATAGTTTGAATAGTGACTTACAAGATGCGGTTTTCTTAAAAAACCCATAAGACAAAAAAAAATTTTATTGACCTGATCCAAACATAAAATTAATTACATAGCAACAACTTGAAAATTAAATTTTAAAAAAATATATCTTTATTTTAATAATTTTATAAGAAAATAATTCTAAACAAACAGAATTGTAAATATAAAATAAAACTATCATCACTAATTAAATGCAAAATTGTAGTTAAAATATTTACAAATCCAACCTACCTGAAATCTTTCCACCTTCCCCCCAACCTTGAACTATAAAAATAAGTACAATTTCACAAACTCAACACAAAGTTGGATCAAGTTAAGTAAACCTCCAACTTTGGGTATTTTTTTTTAAAAAAAGTAATTTGGATGTAGTCTAAAATCTAATTTCATCTTTAGCTTATTGATAATATAATTTCTTTTGGAAAAAGATACAATATTATATATTTTTGATATTTTTAATAAGATACTTGTAATTAAGATATTCTAATAACTCACCTAACTCTGAGCATAAGAGTATTATTTGAGTAAGAGCCTGTAAGAAATGAATATAAATTTTTTATATTCTAATGAAAAATTAAATTTAGTTATAATATAAAAAAGGTAGCAAGGAATGGGCAAAATATTGAAGATCTAGAAAAAATACTTCATTTTTTTATCAATTAAATTTTTTTTTATAAAATTGGAATAAAATCAATTTTAAAATATACTATTCTCTTAAGAGTAATAGTAATTCTAAATACAGTTCATTGTCATTGAAATGTTTGAATCATGGTTTTGGTTTAATGATCAATTTTATATTGTAATAATGTCCAAAAATATTATGTCTCTTCTCTATGTTAACTAATGTGATAATATTAAAGTATGTTATGTCTTAATTAAATATTCTTAATATTTAGAAAGAATGTGACAAAATGACATCATTAAATAAATTGTTATATATAGATTTATTATATTTAAACATAGTGGAATAAAATTATATTAAAATAGGTTTACCAAAAAACACAGATATACAATTTAGATTAGTTTTAATTATTAGAATGTATATATATCAAATACTATATTAAAAAAATATTTTTATAACTAATATTTAAGATTATCTGTAATAAATCATATATCTTATAAATTATTTATATGTAATTTATTATTACCTGGTGTGTCCCATACATTAATTTGCAATTTATAACTCTCTAGCTCCTTTTTATATATAAAGGTGTTAAATGTTGTTTTTTTATAAATCTAGATAAATATAAAGAACTTCAATTCAATATCTATATTTAACTTTGTTAAATGAGTTTTTAATTATTCTATCAATTAGGCATGTTTTTCCCGATTCAGAATCACCAACAAATAAAATCTTAAAATTTAGTTTTTCATGAAATTCTTTAAAATTTTTCATAAAAATTTCAAAATTTTAAAAAAGGATTGATGCTTCTAATATTAGTAATAAAGATTAGAACGAAAGAACCCTCTATTTATAACTATTCATATGTGAGCAACTGTGAATCTGAGAATCATTTACATATAATTATTATTTTTAATAAATAATATTTTTTTAGCTTCGACCCGGTATAGCGTTTTAGAATGACTGCTGTGGTAAATTGGCTACGATTCACATGTATTCTGCAAATTCTCAGATACATGTATCAAAATTTAGAAAAATGTACTAACTAAACATATTTATTAAACAACAACATAGATTTGTATAATTTAGAATTTAATATAGCCTCTGAAAAATTTGGAAATCAAGATTTAACTTAATCAAAAAGTAAATAAATGGGAATATAAGTATGATCATATCTAGAAATGGAAGATAATTATCATGATTTCAATTTATTGCTAATAGCATTGAAGTAGAAGAGTGATGAAATGCCAACTACAAATGAGGAGTTCTAAGATTTAATCTGGTTAATGAAAATATTATTATATTAAATTTATTTTAACAAAATAATGATATTTTATCTTATTTTGTTTTGTTTTGGCATTTCTTTTATTACTAAAAGCTCAAAATCTTTCTATTATCTTTATCCAAGTATTTATTAACTTAAACCATTTATTTGATTTTATTCATTAAACACTGAAAATGATATTATTGTTAATTTTACTTTCAGAGATTACTATTAACTTATAAAAAACTTTTATTTTTGTTACTACTTTTATCGATTATCTTAAATGAAATTTTATATGATATATAATGATACAGAAACGTGTTTTATGATTCAAAATGTAATATTTAAAGTTTAGAAAATTAATATTTTTTGGTATTTTTTGTAATTTCATTATATAAATTTTAAATAATACAATTATTAACATGAAATATAAAGAAAAAAGGGTTATATATATAGGTATCTTTACACAATAATATCTTTAATATATGTGATTCTAACATACAATTCATTTATACATGTACATTCATAATTTAATTATAGCGGAAAATACTTACTATAATTGTTAATATCTATATATGTTAGGTAGTTAACCTTACAAATTATTATATAAATCATAAATATCTTTATATATAACCATTATATAACATATAAATAATTCCTAATTACTAAATTTCCCCGTCATTGATTGAAAGGGAACTTACATCTCCTAGAAGCATCCACGACTTAAAGTTTCACATAAAAAATCCTTGTCTTTGAACTCCATATACCTTTACCATGTGATGTTATTTTTATAATTTTTATCTCCCAAAAGAGCATCAATATTAGCTGCCTTAGTAAAATTTATCTCACCTAAATTATGAACGTTTTTCTTGTTGAATGATCTTATCTAAAGTATCAATATCGTTCCATTGTTGATTGATTTCACCTAGAGTATCATTATTGTTTCCTTTGTTAATTGAACTCCCACCTTAGCATATGTTGACTCGACAGATATCTTACCGGATTATTCTTATTGATTCTATTGTATGTCTCCCACCGGAGTATTGTTATCGAGGTCATTGTATGCTTAATCTCCCAACGGAGTATCGCTACCGAGTCCATTTTAGATAGGCCTACATTGTGCTGGCCCACGAGGTCACCTTACTGTTATATTAGAGCTGGTAAAGAGATCGTTATCATCCTTGAATGACCCATGAGATAATCCATACACTTACATTGTACAAGAAGAGTCCTTTAACCCAAATAAGACTAAATTTGGCTTTATAGGTCATGTTTGAGAGCCCAACTTCCTAATTACCATAGATCCACAAACCATTCTCCGTGTTTTCCCATATAATTATTATATTAATGTTCATTTCACTAAGAGTAATCAATTTCCATAAATAACCATCATCCCATAAGTGATCGATGATACTCTATTTTCATATACATGCAAATGAATGTCAATTATCAATAGTTTTCCAATATTTTCATTTCCCAAAATTATTCAGCCATTAATAATTTTCATTCTAATTTTATTCAGCTATAAGCATGAACATTTTCGTTTGTACCAAATTAACTATTTCCATATAATTTTCTAAATTTTTGTTTGTCAGCAATTATAATAATTATATTTTGTTCATATTAAATCATATATAATTGTTCCATTTCATAATTATTTCAATATCAGAATTTAAAATTCATTCATAAGTTCATTATCAACCATAATTTTATCATATTCTGCAAATTCTCCTTAATTTATTCCATTAACTTAATTTTGTTCACAATTTTATCTTTATCCATATTAATTTCATGAAATATCCAATACATTAATATTGCTCAAACAATTATCACATTTGCAAAATAGTTCATACTTACCATGACATTTTCCCATTCCCCATAATTTATACATAAAACATCCAATAGATTTATGTTACAGGTTATATATTTGATTCTGTCATGCAATGAAATATTCATTTATATGTACATTCACAATTTAGTTATAACCTAAATTACATTATATAATTGATACTATCTATATGTGCTAGATAGTTAACCTTACAAATTATTATATTAATCTTAATGATATATATATATATATATATTCATTATAAAACATATAATAAATTCCTCATTACTGCAATATCTAAAAGGTTATCTATTATATTTTCAAGGATTGAATAGCTACGTAGCATATTATATAACCTATATAATTGATGTTTCTCAATTGGTTTCCCTTTTGAATTTACCCCAATCTGATTTAAACAATAGATTCACACTTCCAAATTTTCATATATCACAAGAATTATTTCTACTAAAGGATCCTTAGGTCCCCATTACCATTTTTTAAGATTTTAAGTTTAAATTTTTCAATTGATTTTCTATTAAAATTTACAATCAGCCATAAATATCTGTGTTTCAAGGCAAATATAAGTTTCCTTTGAACTTAAAAAAGAAATTCTTATTTTTACATTTTTTATTATTTAAAATAAATCTAAAAAATAATTATAAAATATAATATAAAATTAAAAATAAATTATAATATTAATTAAAATAAATTATAATATTAATTAAAATAAATTATAATATTAATTAAAATAAATTAAAATTTTAATTAAGATAAATTATAATATTAATTAAAATAAATTATAATATTAATTAAAATAATTTATAATAATTATGATTTTTGGATAACCATTTATAAAATATATCGTGATTTTTACTAACTTATTTCATGTTATTTTATGTATTTATATTATTTTAAAATACTATTTTCAAAAGTTAACTGAATATATTTTTAATCGGTTCGCAGGCAATTTCGAATTATTCGAAAGAAAATAAATGAGACTTAAGCACAGAAAAAATAATAGTATTTCAATTTTTTTAACCAAAAAATAATAAGATTTCCTTTAATGATATTATTTTATTGATCAACAAACAAAAAATCATGTAATCACCATTCAGAATTGTAATAATTTCAAAGACAATTTGACAAGCATCGTAAAGCAAAATTTGTTTGTTGCTTTACCACTTGAAAATTTGTTTTATAATAATATTCCTTCCAACATAGGGTTCTTAACACTTATTCTCTTTAATTTTAAATTAATAAAAATTAATACAATACATATAAAATTATTATAGACTGCGAAGCTTTAAATAATACGTATAATTGAACTCCAATTGTGAACTCTTTTAATTTATAATTTATCAATAGCAATTTATTATTATTATCTTACGTTATTTAATTTATAAAAAATTATATAAGAAACCTATAAATTAGTAAAATATTTCTTTATTGAAACTTGTATAATTGAACTCCATATAATTGTGAACTCTTCTTTTTATCTATAATAATTATAGGTCAATGAATTTAATATTTGAAATGCTCAACTACATATACATATAACTTTTGAAAGAGACAATAATGATACGTCACCATCACTATCTACCCATGCTCAAAGCCATTAAAATGATAAATTTCATAATTACACTAGTTTAGCATCTAAAAGCAACGATTTTATTCTACAGACAATCCGGCGATTAGATCATTTTTAAGCGCTATCGTTAAGCTATAAGAATACTTTTAGAAATATTTGTAACAAAGCCAAGTTTAAAATTTTTTTTCCCATTATTTGAGGGAGTACGTTAATACCCTCCTATAGCTACGGTTCAAAATATTAATTTATGGCTACTAAACCAGGCATCTGCATTTGTTTTAGGCATATAAAAAATTACGACAACCGAATATTAGACCCCAAATAACCTGTTGCCCCCCCCCCCCCTTCTCCACAACTTTCTGGCTATGGATCTGACTTATCTAAATGGATCTAAGGTAGTTATTATAGGTTCTATCAATATATCTATTTTTTTAATTTAGGTAGAAAATATAAATTTATAATATATTTTATATCAAATTTGTATGACAGATCATGAGCAATAAAGAAATGATCTTAAAAAATAATTCACACATTTTATAAACTTTATCTCTTGCGCCTTTCATTTCATTTATCTTAACACCCCCCCCCCCCCCCCCGCCCTTTTTTAAATACTCTCTTACTGCACAAAATTAGAACCTTTAAACGGTCATATTCTTTCTTTTCTTCTTTTTTTTGATGCAATTCCTTTTTTATTTAAGTAAATATAATAAAGGAAGGCATATATTATTTTTTAAAATATATGAAATTAATACAGACGTAAAATCTCAAACTATGATCAAGGAGAAAAAAAATGAATAGAAGAAGTTTAAAAAGATATCAAAAGAGAATCATAGAAAATATAGGGGCGAAAAGAAGGCAACATTGGGAAAAATATAGAAGATTAATTGATTCAAGATTTAAAGTTTATGTAGTTAAAACGAATAACTGCGGTAGCAAGTCTTTGTCGTTAAGCGATATTTTTTGGGTTGATTGGTCTTTTAAAGGATTATCACCAAATTTCTAAATTAACTCTGAGATTTGCTTTCGAAGAGATTATGATATGGCTTTAGATGTAAAAGTGTAAAAAAGGATTGACGTTGTAAAATATCTCGATA